ATCGCGTTTTCCGCTGCATGAAAGACTGGAAAATCTACCTCCGCAGTGCAGCTTACCATGGGTAAATTTTCAAAGTAACATTCAAGGTACCTTATGAGCTTACGCATATCTCAATTAGGTGAATTATCAGAAGACGTGGACCGCTGTATTTGATGCAATACGAACGTACATCAGAACCCTCCTGCAGGGGACAGGCCCAGGCCCCACTGCTCTATGTATATGCACGAACAGATTCTCATACAACTCGAAAGGTATCTGTGGAGGATGTTATGATTTCTTAAGAGTATGGGTACTCAACCTCGAAAAAACGCATCGCTTCGCGGAATTGGGGACCAAGATTGCCAGTTCTTTGACGCCAGTACCCATAGGACAAGGCCTTACCAACGGATGCCCACACTTGCCAGCAGTCGCAAAGCATAGTCAAACACTGATAAAAAAAATACCGCCTTTTGTGTCGTTTCTTGATTGCAGCGAGAAGAAGGAATTCTGCCAGTAAAAGCACTCACTAGCCAGGGTTGCCAGCAATAATATCGCTGTACAAATATCGGATGCTTAATTGAATTGGTGTTAAATTTTTGTCAAAGACTCAAAGCCATTGGTACATACTCGAGTTATGCGTTGATTTGGTGTGTAGAAAAAATATGTGCTACTTCTAATCAATATTCTGTGCAAAAGATTGTCAAGTAAATTTGCATTTCAACAAGTAAAGTGAGGGTACTATGTCAATGAATGACACAACTAGGCCAAGCACCGCTATTAGCAACTGCTTGAGATACTGCCTTTGTTGCTAATATATATACCTCATCTTTCGGCGAACTACTCTTCAAAAACTTCCTGAAAGGAAATTCATGCATAGCTTTAATCCCATCCTGACACCGTCGCATGATATCGCGCTGCATACTGCATTGTTCCCCCATACCGTGGCAACGTTGGCAGAGGGCACGTTGTAAGACGGCCTGTGGCTGTCCGCCCTGGGTCTGAATGCGATTAAGAGCATTTTCCGCGTCATGTATGCTTTTGAGCATGCGGATTTGATCCACCAAAGCGACCAAAAAAAGCTCGCAGTTCGTGCAGACAACGGCCAAACTTGGGAAGCAGTCGACATCTTCAGTAAACAAGCCACCGTCGGGCTTGAATCGCAAATTCTCAATCACGGCTTCAAACACCGTTTCCCAGGTTTTGTGGTATAATGCCTGCACGGAGATAAGTATAATCTAATTAGCTGGCACCTAAATGGCGTTAAGCAGTACTTGCAAAGACATGACTCACCCAAGGCACCCAGACCTGACTTGGCAAGTCTATAAGCATATCACACACGGGTGATCGGGCGCAAAGGAGCGCAGTTTCGTCGACGAGGTCAAGGTAGTCAAACTCAATGGCGTACTTCAGGATTTCTTTGGCGCATTGAGGCAAAAACTCTCTTCACATCGTACGATGGAGTCAATTAATTATTATAATGCCCAGAACCCAACGATGGAGCGTACCTCAAGCGCACTTGTGAAATATGCATGGCAGAAAATATCTTATATCTTTCGGCTGCGGTCGCGAGCGCTTGCACAGTCTCAAATCTCGTATTCGTGAGCTTCGGGTGTCTTTGAGGGTATAAGAACTGGAAAAGGATAACGAGCACATGTGCAGGCTCTGGGAGCCGCTGCTGATTGATAGGCGTGAATCCGCCTGCTTGAACCTCAATATTTGTACGATGCAGACGAAAGAGCACATTGTCGGATGATATGACTGAAATGTCTGCATCGCTTGCACTGACTGAGATTCGATGACAATGCCTAAATTATAAGAAAGATTCACAGATCAAAGAGATCAAAGAAAAACGCACATTGACTACTAGTTGCGCCCTCGTAATCAAGTTTCGACATATCTTAAATCGAAGTACGACTTAGCAGCTGGGTGAATGTGAGTGCCACGAAGGCGTGAGCGTTGGCTGAGCGTATCATTTCAACTTTGATGGGCACGAGCCTTCGGGTTGAACCCGGGAGCCGGCGAAGCCAACACGTGCATTTTCTCTGTACTGTTCTACTTAAACATAAGAGTTGCTTATGAAAGTTCACCATTCCGGGACACGCATAGTGAGAAATGAATTATGCGAATCTGCTAATGTGTGGGCTGGAGTGGAGAAGCTCAAAGATAATATTTCAACATTGAACGATTTATTTTTAGAACATATATATTAAGCGCCCATGTTAACCGAGTTCACTTGGCGCCTTGTAGTGCTTGTACTGCCTTGCAGCTGTATGAATATGCCGAGGCCTATATGTCTACATAAGGCCTACACTGAAAATCATACATAGTGTATTACATATATCCATCGGCCAGAATTCAACTTTCCACCAAATTCAGAAAACACACAAAAGGAGGGATGGATTTAATTTGCCTCTGCCTATATGACGCCAGAGGTAATAGGTATGGGTGCTTTTTATTGCTTGTGAAATTATACGTCGCAATAATGGCTACCATGCTTTCCAAATGTTCTCGAGTATCAAGGCCCGCTTTCAAGTAATTATAGCAGTTTTGACAGGGCTTGCTATTGATGACGCCATTTCTGCGGTGACAGAGGTACTTAGTCTCCGAGATTGAGATAAGAGAGTTGATGTGCTCTTGTATCTGATTGAACACAGCCTACGATGTCTGTTGATATCTGACCTGCATTTAATCCGCCGTGTGAGCTGACGAGGGAAAAGAAGAATGTCCGAAAGGTTATTTCCATTTCGTACAGATTGTTGACCTTGTGAAACCGGTTGACCCAAGCAAGCAAAGAAATTCGACAGTTATTGCATATTTGGGACCTGGTAGCTGTTGCAAGTTAGTGGATGGAACGCGCCTGCTTTCCCTTCAATGTTCGTACGGTGTAGACGAAAACTCCTGTTACCAGAAAATCTGACTGCGACGGCTGTATCGTTCGAGTTGACTAAAAATCCCGGTAAAAAATCAGAAGTCTTCTGATTATCAACGAGACGATGAAATAGGTGCTCACAGAGGACGCTAGGTCACCTGCGTAGGATTCTGATGGCTTGACTCGGAGCTACAGCTTTTGAAAAGGTCAGTGCTGAGCGCTGAATACTAAGCACGGAGTGTTTGACGGTCGGAGCAAGTTGGAAGCAAGCAGCAGCAGCATTTAGCCGCGTGCGTCTTTTCCTGTATCCCAACACATTGCATAATAAGGTTGTAATAAGGTGTTCAAAAATCGCAAAAGCCCTACACCAAGTGAGCCTTGCATCCACCGTGTGGAATACGTAGAGCCACATTTTTGGCTAAAATAAATCGTACATATATCAGGATTTTTCCACGTACAAAATCTACCAACCGCCCGTGTGGCGAACTGGTGTACTTAGCTTTGTTTGCTACATATGTTACACGCAAAAAATTTCAAATAACACAGAATCCATCTTCCAGAAAACATAGATTATAAGTACATTTAGATCTCCCAATGAAGGATTATGGATTCATAGGCCTCTGCCTCTGACGACCGGAACTCCTCTTCCTCTCCCCCGAGGCACGGCCCGGCCTCTGCCCCTTGCTCGTGGTGGTATTCCAGTATCACTCAGCGTTGAATAATCTCTTTCCGCAGACGATTGTTGGCCTAGTGCAGAGGTTCCTGGAGCAACAAAATCACCCCTGCCTCCTGCAATTGTAATGTCCCCTCGCCCGCGTCCTCGTCCCCGGCCGCGGCCACGCCCACGGAGCCCATTGACATTGGGAGCGAAGCCGCCAGTCTTCCCGCCACGTCCGAAACGGATAGAGTCCGGGACAAGCGACAGCGAGTCCAGCGAATTTACCAGGCCGTCGACGTCGTTGCTGGCCGCAGCGCGCTTGTTGCGCGGCTGTTTGAGTTGGTGCGGGCGCTCCGTGGACTTGGATGATATGGACGATGGCGGCGAGTGGATCCCGGTCGTGCGGGGCAGCATACGCGGTGTTGCTTGAAGGTCAAGCGCCTCCTCCTCTTCGAACGGCTTGTCCTCCGAGCTGTTGTCGCCGTCGTCATCCTCATCCTCGTCCATCTCGCCGCTGTCGTCCTCATCTTCGTCCATCGCGCCGTCTCCTCTATGAGCGTCCATCTGCACGTCCCTGGCCTGCCCGGGCTCTCTCGGCTTCCACTCCTTGCGCACCATGCTCGCCCCCTCGCCCCATTTCTTCAGCAGCCCACCGATGCCCTTGTTTGTGACGGCGAAGAAATACTCCTTGGGGTAGGAGTGTGCTTGGATCAGATGTAATCGCCGCGCTTTCGGGGTGAGGAAGTTACGGCCACAAGTTGGGGCAGGGATGTGGCACTGGAACTGGAAAACAATGTGAGTCAGATATCACAATCGCACAATTGTACGCACGATCTTGTCACCGCGCTCCTTGCGAATCTGCGCCAGGGGGTCGTGGCACTCCGTTTGATGCTTTACAAAGGGTAAATTAGCGCCGTGTCTTTGCCACTCAAAACGACGCAGCTCACCAGCGCTAGTAGCCTAGCCTCAGGAAATACACACCCGCAGTTTTGGTCTTCGCAGACATGCGCATGATATTTGGCATAGTGTCTTTCAAGTTCAGCAGTGTTCGCGATCGGGGCAGGTTTGTGATTGCAAGTCGGTGGCAAAGTGCAGAGTAATGGCACTGAGGCACTGGAAGTTGTGGTGCTCTGCTGTCCGTTTACGGTGCTCCTGCTTGGGTTGGTTATGTCGGAGCTAGCGTCTGGGAAGTAAATGATGCGCGAGGCCTTGAGCGGAGGATCGCCTGATCCAGGTGAAATGCTAAGCGCCGATGACGGCGAAGAAGGTGCGCGTGGACGCTTGACGGATGGTGTTGCGTTTGGCTCCATAGTGGATTGGCGGATTTGTTGAGATAAATCTCTTTACTTGAGAATACCAGCTCAAGGTTCACAAACGCACGATGCACGGGGAGATCTGAAGTGAAAGGGGCTTGCATCGTGGTGAACGTCCACAAGAACGTTGCAATTCGATAATAGTACATCCAGGGATGCGCCATTTTACACATGAAATATGTGCCCCATGGCTGAGTTGGTTACAGCGTCCGACTGTTAAGTTCATATCTTGAGCAACGATAATCGGAAGGTCATGAGTTCGAGCCTCATTGGGGCAGAGTCTGTTTTTGTTCATCTTTGGCAAGATAGCAATTTTTTTTAAAAAGTTGGAAAAATCACGGTGACACAGAGTCCGGACCCCATAGCCACGGAAAATTTCCGTCAGAATTCATCAGATTCTCTGCGTACTGCAAGCGCACTGTATTAATTTGCTCGTATACAAAAGCTAATTTTACAATATAGGTACTTCCAACATCATAGTTTTGCATGTAGTGTCTTCATGAAATAGAGCAAACAAAAAACCAAGTCCCCTTCCAGATTTATACCACACGTTGAAAGAGCATGAAGGCTGATGTATCCTGATACATCAACGCCACATCTGAGAAGTTTCCGGCGATCGCGGTGGGGACATCGTCGCCTGCCCTCCTCGAGTGTAATAAGAGCCACCACCAGGAGCCGGGTTAACGCTATTCGGCACTGGCGGGGGTGCATATCCCTGCGTCATCGAAGGTGCATACCCATGTGCGGTCGAGTTGACCGAAGAGCCATACGAATAATTCGACATGTGCGTCGGGGCCGCGTTGTACGCATCATACTGCACCTGCTGGGCATTTGCCTGCGGAATGTTTGCCTGCGGGAGCGGCGCTGCCGTGCTCGGTTGCGTGGTCGGGAAAAGCGCGACGGTGGGTATCAGTTCGCACACATGTTGTACGATGTTACGCGTGCGCATGCCCCCGGGCCCGGTGACGGAGTCGGTGCTGTTCATGACAAAATGCACCTGCGCCTCCTGCACGACATTGTCGTGCTGCGAGTCGATTGGCGGTGTGTTGGCAGTGACACTGACACCGCGGCCATCCCATGTGCATCGGATTTCGTTGCCCGGGATGATCTGTGCCAGGCGCCCGGTTGCGATATGTCGGATTTCGATGAAGCGAGAGTCAAACAGGAGAATATACGGCGCATGGAAAGCGACACGCTCTGCTGTCCCCTCCCATTCAATGGTCCCCAATGAGCGGCATGGGTCGCCATGCTTGTCAACATATAGGCCAAATTCTATAAACCCAAGATTAGAATTCGTCGGAAGGTAAGTGGAAACAACACGCCATCATAGCAAAGCAGAAACTCTTCCTCAGTCGATCGGAACATCCCCAATGGCCGAGCGGCTTCGCAGCGCTTAGCAAGCTGCGCGTGGCGAGGGTCATCCCGCTGAGGAATAGTTATGCTGTCAAAGCTGTAGAAGATAGATAAATCGGAGAAACACCGAGCCTAGAAGGATAACAACGTACTCATGAAGATTCATAATTTCGAACCCTTTAGCACAGAAAATCGCAATCCTTGCTTTGAGGAAGATAACGTCGAATGAATCGGACGGCAGGAAGAAATCCCTGTATATTCTGAACCACTCCGATTTTGTTGATCGGAAGCCGAGCCGAGAGCCAAAACCAGCAGAAGCCTTCGCTCCTTCGTTAATCTTCTCGCCGACCGGTTCGAGTACACGGAATATGCTGTTCAACTGGATAGCAAAGATATGAGAATAGCCTACGTGCCAACTGAAAGGATCATACCGATTTCTTCTTCATATAGATGATGAGGGTCCGGCCTCCAAGAGTTCCAACACTGAAGAAGTGAACGTCCTTTGTTCCACTCAATTTCTGTGGGACTTGTGACGTATGAGGTCCATTTGGAGTCGACGGCACGAGAGCTTCTATGTGATAAGCAAAGAGGGCCTAACAACACATAGATTAGAAAAAGCATATCGTGAATTGAAATCAAAATACTTTGTCAGCGAGGACCAAGAAGATGCCAAAGTCTTCAAGCATTGCACACTGGGTCACCATTTTCAGATGCAGAACACGACGAATCGCTAAAGAGATCTGTCAGAAGATAATACCAACATGGAGTGGTACAAATACATACACTTGGGATCATGTCTGAATCCGATCCACACTCCTTCTGTACACCCAATTGCAACCAGAGCGCGTCCATCAAGAGTATCTGCGAAACAGTAAGTACCAGCAGAGTCAAAAATATATAGTTAACTTACTGAAAGGCACAGAACAAGTGACTTTGCCTGTATATTGATTATCTTGATTCCACGCCGGACCGTTATTCGTGCCAACAGCGACCGCCGGCATCACGAACGTCTCCCTGCTCAGATACTCGATTTCGAACACCTTGTTGGATTCCTGCACTGTCTTGCGTAGAATAAGTGCGTGTTCCAGCCGTTCCTTCCAATCTGAACGTGATTGTGCGGACTCGGCGTAAAGGATGTAGGGACCGCCTGTGCGCCCATTGTGATGGAGGGTAAGGGGGAATACTGAACGCGAATCGGTGGCACTATCGGGTGTCATGCCCGGAGTTCCGCTGTTGGTGTCGTGTCGCTCGCCACCTCGCAAGTTGCGAAGGATCCCTGCGCTTCGTTGGGTGGGTGGATCCGTGAAGTTTACCAGTGTCAACAAGTCAAGAGGGATTGGCTATACAAAGTTGGCATGAGCTCGAGACATCCCCGATCAGGAAAATGTATTTACTCTACGATTAACTTGATATTTCGTCACACCGTCCTTCTCTTTAGGCTTTGTCATCACCACTATGATTGCGTTGGGTCATCGTGTTCAATATGATACCAAAAATGACTCACGGTAATTATCGAAAAGGAGGACATGAAGCTCGCTCCATCCATTCCACTCTAGACCACTTTCAGGTTGGCGAAGCAGTTTCCCAGAATAGATAAGGGAACGACCCGGATCGAGTAGATCCATGTCCTGACACATACCAATCAGCATCAAGAAATCACAGATAGATAGGCCAATGCATCTCACAATAGATTCGCCTTGCTTGAAGATGAGGTTGGCATTATACCTCCACACCTCGACTTTCTGCTTCGCCGACTGCACTCCGGGCTCTGTCTCCTTTCCAAGAGCTTTGATGACCTCAACGACTTGCGGAATGGCCTCGATATCTTCATGCCCTGCAGGGGTCTCGTCCATTATACCCTTCAAGAGAAGTTCATATCGCAGCAGCCTCGGGATAGGCCGATTGATGAAGCTCTTCATGTCAAGACGATGCGCATCCGGATGCCGGACACAGTTCTGTTGACCCAATCCATATTTCAGTATAGTGACCAAGAGAGCGATTGTATGTGCCTTACATCAACGAATGTCTTGAATGCCGGATTATTCGCCATTTCGTTGTCAATGCGATATGCAGCGATGGGATAGTTCGGGATGTATTCCATGTATGAATCTCGGAAGTTGAGGGCGGCGTCGAAGAGTGGAGCGGTGATGGAGTGAATGTTGGGGTGTTGTTCCCGTTGGATTTCGTGCAGCTCGCCAACGAGTTTTTTGTGATGCTGGAACAGATCAGCATAGTTGTGGAAGACATCATCAATGAACTGGTCGAGTCTGTCGCTGGGTATAATGGACGTGTCCTTGCGGAGAGGTATAATGTACATCTAGCAAAAAAATTAGAACTGAAGGCAGCAGCAGGAGATTAGACATACATTTTGAATGTTTTCCAAATCTTTCACGTAAGCCATCTCTCCCTTGATTAGTTCGAATATGATACTATAAAAGTCTTAAAAGCTGCATCAGAGGAATGCCACGCAAAAACTTACGCTTGGCGCTTTGCATCTTTCTTAGCGAAGTGCTCGCGAACCTCAACAGGGACGATATCGTGCCATTCCCATTTCCCAGGTGCACCCTTGCCCATCGCGGCCTGGAAAGTCCGCAGCTGCGATATAGAGTGCAAGTTCTTGATGGCGTCGATTGCCTCAACTAAGAATTCCGTGTCCGGATTTTCGGGCGCCGTTTCATGCAGAACCGCCTCGAGATGGACCGTGTACCTCTGTAGATGGTCCGCCGGCCGACTGAGAAAACTTTTAAGCTCGAGCCGGGTAGAGTCTTCTGGGCGAGACGACGGCTGGCGGGCACATTGCTAAGAAAAAATGGAAGGGGTAGAAGGTGAGTACGCATATGGCAGCTGTAACAAATGAACGCACATCCAGAAATATCTTGAGCTGTGGGTTTGCGTCCGTCTCATCCTTCAGCCGCTTTTCTGATATCGGAAAATGGCCAATGTATGTCGGATAGGCGAAACGGAACTCGGCCGCAGATTGCAGGAATATGTCGCCAATTCTCAAGATGATGGGACCCTCTTCGCGTTGACGGACATACAAGACTTCCAATAATCGACGATTCGTTTCGCGCAGATCCAGAATGTTGCCGAATACATCATCAATGAAGTCGTCCAATAGATTGGGGGAAATCACGGGGGGATTAGCCGCACGCAAGGGTTTAATGAAGGCAGACTCGACGAGGTCAAGGTCTTGGAGATACTGTTTCTCCCGATTGATGAGCTGATGGATGATACTGATAGAGGAGAATAAATGAGTCCGCATATCCTAAGTCTACTGTAAGACAAGTAAGAGACCCACTTCTGTCGGTTGACCTCACTTTGAGGCAACGATTTCACAATCGCTGCATCAACGGTCGACGTCCATGCTTCTTCTGTCACAACAGCGAGCGCCTCAACAGGCGCAGGAGGCGGTACAAATGCATGATCGCCCTGGTAGTATATTACGATTACACAAGGGGACAAATAAAGAAAAACTGACCACATACCTTGCGAGGACACGAGTAAGCATAGCACACGACGCCCTCCCCACAACTTGGCGAATAACATCTTGTAAGCATTGTAATGACGCTTGTCGGCAATTCCTCGCGCTCAGGAATGGCATCAGATCCACTTTCTTGGTCATCGAGGAACATGTATACGTCCTCTACTCCATCATGCAGAACACGATTGCCCCATTCGACTTCATAGAAGAACAGTTGGCTCTGGAGACTGCGGGCCACTTGGAGGGCCACCCGTCGGTCATTGGTCGAAACTCCGTGATTTATCGCAAGCTCCCGTTGAATTTGTGTTTGGATTGTTGACTATGATACAAAAAAAATAAGTTTACGATATAAAACTGTAATTGAATTGCAATCCGACGCACCACAATATCTTTGCCTGTAAATGCTCTTGGATAGGGGATGCTACCTTTCACATGAGTGCCTCG